TATATATATATATATATATATATATATATATATGAACTGTGATGTTTGCCGAAATAAGTAAACATTAACTATTGAACACATATTTTATGACCTTTTTTACTGTTTTACACACGCAATAAACCATGAGAGGCTGTGTTTTTTTTAATTGTTGTTAATTAAAATGAAATGTTACCACAACTAAGGGGTACTGCAGAGGACATGTGCATCTCTGTAGTGCAGAGCCCATAAGGGACATAGTGAAATGAGTAAACTAAGAGATTTTGTTTTTAGCAGAAGGATGCAGGTGAGTGCTGATGGAAGAGTTTTCAGTTGTTTCTTGAATAGTGTAAAGGATTCGTGTTCAGGCTTCTGAAGGGGATGTAGACCGTGCATGTTCTGTATGCAAGCATCAGTGACTTAATTGGTAGTCAGGGCAGAGAGTGCAGCAACATACATGAATTATTGTAGAGGTTTGATTGCACATGATGGTCCAGTCAGAAGAGCATTGCAATAGTCCAGCACAGAAATGACTGTTGCGCAGCAGTTAAAACCAGCAGAATCATTCTGTTCTTGCAGTATGGTCGTTGAAGTATTACCTGAATATCTTCAAAGTTGCTGCAACTTCATATTAACACATATACAACTAGATCATCTAATTATATTTCCTTGAATATCCCTAGATAGGAAACTACTTATGGTCATTCTGCTTTTGAATTTGCTGCCCCAAAACGATTGGAATGTGCTACAAAAGCGATTGAAACTAGAGACAAATATTTCAGTCTGTGCATTTAAAAATGCTATGAGTGCTTTTACCTCAACCTGTAAATGTTTTAACTGAGATTTTTTGTTTACTTGTTTTGTTTTATGTGCCTCTTGTGTATTGTAATGTATGGTTGTATATGTCTTTCAGGAGATATTACTTCTCCTGCCAGGCTGTTATTGAAAATAAGAATGACTTGCCTGGTTAAATAAAGGTTAAATGAAATGAAGGTCATCAAAGATTACCCCAAGATTTCTAACGGAGCTTAATAAGATTGTTGCTCATGAACCTAGCTGGATGGTGAAATTATGCTGTAGAGTCGGAGTGGCAGGGAAGACGAGAAGCTTAGTCTTTGCCAGGCTGAGCTGCAGATGATGTTCCTTCATCCATGATGAGTGTCCGCTAGCCTGAGATTTGTGCCACTGTGTGTCATCAGCATAGAAATGCTAGGACAAACCATGTGCCTGCATAAGGGGTCCCAGCAATGTAGTGTATATGGAGAAGAGGAGCGGTCCAAGGAGTGAACCCTGAGGAACCCCTGTGACCAATTGATGTGCTTTGGATACAGATGACTTAGAATCAGCTTTTGCAATTCGCAGAGCTTCAGTGACTGTCAGCAAGGCAGTCTCAGTTGAGTGACTGCTTTTAAAACCTGATTGGTTGTCATCCAGCTGGTTACTCGGAGAAAGAATGGGTGATACTTGATGACGTGTTTTCGTTATGAATGGGAGAAGAAAAACACGTCTGTAACTTTCCACAAGTGCAGTGTTTAATGTGTTTTTGTTTTTTGGAATGCTGTGATGAGATGTGATGAGATGTGATGAAATACATTTGCATTTCATCCCAAAATCTTTCCCGAGATTGTCTGGTTCCCTGGTGCCCTCCAGGACCGAAGTTATCCAGCCCCACTTTAGGGAACCTTATTTGTCAGAAACAACACGGATTTGGAATGCATGTGGCTGTTTGCATTAGGTTATATGTTTTCCAGTGCTGCAATGTGAGGTTTGGTGATATACTTTTTAATGAATGTTTTGTTTCCAATTAGTTAGATGACGATTATAATAATAACTAAATATCCATGTTTGTTGTGCATAGTGCCTTTGATATCCATTAAAATGCAATTTTTGCTGTTTAAAAAAAAAAAAAAAAAAATGATGTTGTTGCTGTTACAGTCTGTATGACCTGTTTGTCTATGGATATCTTTGTCTATTAGTGTCCAGAAGAAGCTTTCCAAAAATGAACATCAACTCGGTTAAATCGGCGCACCTGTCGACCAGCTGTGGAAAGCTTTTGTGCATTCAAGGCACGCAGAGGCCCAATCATTCTCATCAGCTGGTTGCAAAGAATGAACAGAAATTCAACCCTGGAAACTCAGGTAAAAGTCTGAACCTGTGCTGTTATCTGTCTGTCGCAGTCATTACTGTATGATGTGATGGCCTCAGTACTTTGATGTCATTTGTAGTTTCTTGTTTTGTACAGTAAAGTTCTGTTTTGTTTTGTTTTTCAACTGTACCTTTCATGAAAGTGTTTTGCATAATGATTTAATTCTAATTCCAGCAATATGATTTGTCTTTTCTTCTTCAGTCAAGGTGTATCATATCTTGTATAATAGAACCAGACAATGCATGGCTTTTGGCTTTGAGGTGAAAAATAAGTCTGTTTTCCCGGTTGTTACTCCCGGTGAAGAGGTCAAATTTAAGGTAATGTCTCAGACACTGAATTGCAAAGAAATCGCTTATTGTTAGACATGGTGTCAAATACTTTCTTGTGCTTTTTGATCATTTCTGATTCTATATAATCATGTCTGCTGGCTTTCACACGCAGGCTTTACCCACAGACAAGCTGATTACGGAAAGGACCTTTGATGAAACGTTCTTATTTCAGTGGGGTGAGCAAGAGATCTCTGGAGATTGGAGGAGTCTGGAATCAGTGGCTAAACCCAAAAAGTACCTGTGTGTTAAAAATGAGGTCAAAGTGACCATCACAAAAAAACAGAGTCCGGTTTTTAGAATCTGTTACTCAGATGAGAAAAAAGGTAATGTTTGCGAGAGGAATATTGTACTTTGTGAATAGTTACCGTGTCTGCGGACTCTACACAATACACTGTAAACTCTAATCATCCATCTGTTGCATTTATAAAACATAACAGGTGAGGAGTTGCAGAGTCTCTGTGGATCGGGTAAAATCCAAGAGAACGCGACAAATCCATACAAAAAGATCTGGCGAAGACGCAACTTAAAAAGAGGACCTTCATGCTGCGCGGGATCGGCATCCAATAAACCCCTGCACTGCAACGACAGGTACTTCTAAAGTGTAATCCATTACTGATTCCAAATTGCATGACAAAAAATGTACTTAGTAATGTAATCCATTACGTTACACATTTTTAGGTAGTATAATCAGACAGCTTTTAGATTGCTTTTGACCTAACTCGTCTATCACATTGATTTAAAATGTAACATATTGATATAAAAATGGGTAACACTTTATTTTGATAGTCCACTTTAGACATTCTACTCACAGTAAGAAACTTTGCAACTAAATGTCAGTTTTTTTCAACTGCTTACATTTTTAAAACTTTGCCTCTTATTTTTTAAAACTTTACACACAATTGCACGCACAACATGCAAAATGCATCACATCTCTTGCAAAATGAAGCACTAAAAATTTAAAATGAAAACAAGCCATTTTGAAATAATAACATTCAGAATAAAAAAAAAAGCAAAAAAAAAAAACAATGCATGTCATGTGACCTTAAAATCTCAGGGTACTTCAAATCAGTATATTAGGTGAAACTGACAAATAAAAAGTTTGGGAAGCCCTGCATTACACGTTAATAAGAAATAACATGAATTTGTGCATTTTTAATGTCATAGTAATGCATGGTTAAATAACCTGTGATAATTCAAATAAAAATGAATGTGTTCATCAGTAGTACATGCAATATTGAAATATTGAGAAAACCGTTTTTAAAATGGAAATGATTTCTGTAAATCCAGTGGTCAAATGCTCTCTCAATTTTCAGTGCAATTATATCCACCTCTGCTCTTTGTGTGAATGTCCACAAAACTGGAAGACTTTCTGACTGTATATAAGCGGCAGGCTATTTTAGAAAGGAACATTTAAAAGATGGAAAAGAGGAATTAGGGAGAATCAATAAATAATGAATAATATAATGCTGTTGAGTGAATAATATGTAATCTTGTAATCAATAAAAAGTAACTGTAGTCTGATTACAAGTATTTTAAAATGTAATATAATCTAATTACAAGTACTTCATTTTTGGAATCTATCTGTAAGTGTGACATATGGAGCACAAAACCAGTCATAAGGGTCAATTTTCTGAAATTGAGATTTATACATCATCTGAAAGCTGAATAAATAATCTTTCCATTGATGTATGGTTTGTTAGGATAGGACAATATTTGAAAATCTGGAATCTGAGGGAGCAAAAAAATAAAAATATTGAGAAAATCATCTTTAAAGTTGTCCAAATGAAGTTCTTGCATATTACTAATCAAAAATTAAGTTTTGATATATTTACGGTAGGAGATGTACTAAATATCTTCATGGAACATGATCTTTACTTAATATCCTAATGATTTTTGGCATAAAAGAAAAATCTATAATTTTGACCCATACAATGTATTGTTGGCTATTGCTACAAATATACCCCAGCGACTTAACACTGCTTTTGTGCTCCAGGGTCACATATGTGAAGAGCACTGCTGTAAAATGTGCATTCAGACACTCAAAAATATGTTCATGTTAAAATTCATGATAGTCTCATTGACTTGTATTTAAAGCACACTTTTGAGCAAGCAGTGAGTATTAATTACTATGCAGTTTTCTTTCTAATTGCATTTTCTTGCTTTTTATGCAGACTTCCCCTGTAAAGCCGGACATATGAAATAACAGTCTGAAAAATCACATTTCTTTCTATGGGAAAAAAAGCACCTCAATTTTCTTTCAAGGCTCAGAAATATGCAACTCGGTGCAGTTGCTGATTTTTATATGGCTAGAAATTAAAATGAAATTCTGATAGCTTGTAAGTAAATATAAATAATAGGCCTAGCTGTCGCTTTGTATCTCCCATTAATGTGTTTTAGTAAGATGATGTTTGCTTATTTATGCTTAGATTTATGATCAAACCTCTGAGTTTTTTATTTTATTTTGGGGTCAAAACTTATAATGCAGTGCAATGCAATGATAATTGAGGTTGGATCATGTTTGATACTCACATTTTAACATGTTTTTTCAAGTGTGGAGAATCAAGTCAACCTAAGTTGCTTCAGTAAGTGTTTGTCTTGAAATATTAATAACAATATCAAAGTTATTTTTATGGTTAGGGGGACAGTTATACTGAAAGACCTTTTGCTCGCTGAAAAAGTATAGTCTATGAATCATGCGTGCATTGGTTTGTTTGGATCGTGCTGATCATTATTTAGAGGCCTTTGAAATGTGAGTATCCACCAAGAGAAGAAGAGCTTGACGATGAACTGAAATGAATCTTTCTTTCTCAGGAAAACCAAGCGGATGAAGATGTGAAGAGCTGAAGCGTTTTCACCAACAAAAGGGCTTTGATCGTTCTGAGAAAACATGAGAGCGATTCCTCCGTGGGTCTTTGAGGCATGGCATTTTCTCCATTTATTTGCATGCGTTTCACTTTGATTTGTATTTCTTTCACTTTTCAGTGAGGTGTGTTCACCAGTGATGTTGGGCATATCTCAATTTCTAATGTTTCTGAAACAAGTCTCTTCTGCTCACCAAGCCTGCATTTATTTGATCCAAAGTACAGCAAAAGCAATAATATTGTGAAATATTTTTACTATTTACAATAACTGCTTTCTACTTGAATATATATTAAACTGTGATTTATTTCTGTGATGCGCAGCTGTATTTTCAGCATCATTACTCCAGTCTTCAGTGTCACATGATCTTCAGAAATCATAATCATATGCTGATTTGCTGCTCAAGAAACATTTCTGATTATTATCAGTCATTACTGCTGCTTGTTATTCTTGTGGAAACACTACCATTATATTATAGTATGTCATGTGGGACACAAAGAAGAGTCAGTAAAAGTTCAGACAAGCGCGCCCTCTGCTGGTGAAGCTCATCTGAACTATTAAAGGGGTCATATAATGCTACATGCACTTTTACAAGTTGTTTGAACTGAAATGTGTGTTGGTAGTGTGTACACAACCACCCTATAATGATAAAGATCCACCCAGTGCTAATTAGCAAGTTTCATGATGAATGCGGCTAAAGTAAACAGCCCCTCAGAGAGCAGCTCGGAAGAGAGGGGCAGAGTCAGCAGAGCTCATTAACATTTAAAGGGAAATGCTACAAAAACGTCTTGATCTGAAAAGAGCTGTTTTTGACGGTAAAAAAGGTGTTTTTTACACTACCATTGAGAAATTTTAACCAAACTTATGGTACAGACTTTTCATTAAGACCCTAAAGAATCATATCAACTTGTGGAAAATGGGCATCCTGTGACCCCTTTAAGTAGACTTTTATCAGTAAAGTGCATTGCACTAGAGTTTGTATAGCTTGTATAGCGTATGCTACATCTAATATGCATTGTTTTTCTAGTAACATGATCTACAAATATATGAATGTATTTGTTAACCATATTATATAAACGCTGTGAAGCTGAAATAATCAGCTCGTTCTGCAAGCAAAGCATCTTGCTGTATGTTGACTATGAATTTTTTATATATATGCATGTATTTTTTTTATTAGTATATTGTATTTTACTTCTTTCTTTTTGACAAACTCTAAGAACACCTAATTTCTGTATTATGCATTGACTGAATAATATATGCAAATATGATGCAAAAATGCATATTTTAAATTTAAAAATATTCTGGATAGTATGCGATTTATGTGTAGCTGATATTTCATTCTATTAATGACTACCAAATAAACACATATTTTCCAGTGTTTGGGCTTGTTGTGAATGAATGACAATGTAGAGAAAGTGAAAAAAGAAATCAGCCGACTTAATCCAAAAATAAATCCAAAATAAAAGTGGTTGTTTACATAATATATGTGTGTGTTCTGTGTATATTTATTATGTATATATAAATACACACACATACAGTATATATTTTGAAAATATTTACATGTATATATTTATGTTCATATAATTTATATTATATATAAATATATTTAATATATAAACATAACATATTTTTCTTAAACATGTACATGCATGTGTGTGTATTTGTTTCTTTTAAAATTTCTTTAAAAAAAATCATTTTTGTTTTAGGTTGAAGTACTAAAATAACTTAATAAAGAAAGTAACACACACAAAAAAAGAAAAAACTACTAAAACAAATGACTAAAATGATGACTAAAATGATGACTAGGAAAACAGAAAATATAACAAATTTGAATTCAAAGTATTAACAAAAACTAATCAAAGTTACTAAAATAACACCAGCTCTGAGGTTCACATACAAATGTATTTAATGAGAATAGACAGAAAGTAAGTAAATAATAAAGAATAACAAATAAAAACCATATAAACATAAAAAATATTTATAGCAATAGTCAACGATAGTCAATAGTCAAAATTATTGATTTTTCTTTAATGCCAAAAATCATTAGGATATTAAGTAAAGATCATTTTCCATGAAGATATTTTGTAAATGTCCTACCGTAAATATATCAAAACTTAATTTTTGATTAGTAATATGCATTGCTAAGAACTTCATTTGGACAACTTTAAAGATGATTTTCTCAATATTACATTTTTTAGCACCCTCAGATTCCAGATTTTCAAATATTGTCCGATCCTAACAAACCATACATCAATGGAAAGATTATTAATTCAGCTTTCAGATGATGTATAGATCTCAATTTCAAAAGATTGACCCTTATGACTGGTTTTGTGATCCAAGGTCACATATTTCTGTGGTCTCATTCACTAGTGAAGCATTGGGAAGTGGTGCTGTAACTGGTTAAGCGGGTCTGCCTGGCATATAAGCAGTGCAAGGTGAAAGGAGATCTCTCAGGATTAGTGGATTGAGAGTGAAGCTCACAGCACAATCTGAATGAAGCACAGTCTGTCTGACAGCTGTTTGCATCTTATCCTCATCAGCAGCAGCAGCATGGCAGAGAATGTGAAATAATCTCCTGAAACAGAGACGCTCTGCCAGCCGTGCCATTGCATATTACCCTTGAACTGTCATCAGTGAAGCTTAGCATGTGTGTGTGTGTGTGTGTGTGTGTGTGTCTTACCATGACTGATTATGAATCACGTCAGATGAGGGTCACGGGGTTTAACTCTCAGCGCTGATGCAATAGGACTTTATATAAGACATGAGAATGAGGAGGGACAGTTGTTCGTCGTTACTGTAAAGCGAGACGGCGTATCCCTTTACAGATTTAGCTGTGAGCTGCGTGAGTGGTAACAGATATCCTACTATTCTAAACAACCGAAAAGCCTTCAGTGTGTGATTTGCCTTCTTGAAATGCATCCTTTATTAAGCCAGGAGAATCCCATTGAGACTTCACAGTCTCTTCTTCCCGGGAGACCTGGTCAAGACGGCAGCACATAAAGTTTCACACAAAACCAACAAAATACTCACACAAAACAATTGATAAAGATCAAGCGAAACATGTACAAGACTCCAGTTTGCAAAGTTCCCAGGGATGGCAGTGACTTCTAATTTAACTTAAATAGGAGCAATCTAGAGGAGCACACTGCAAAAACAAAAAAATCAAAAATCGGTGAAATTTACTTAGTGCTGTCAAATGATTCATCGCATCCAAAATAAAAGTTTTTGTTTACATAATATATGTGTGTGTACTGTGTATATTTATTATTTATATATAGACACACATGCATGTATATATTTCAGAAAAATACGTTGTTTGTATATTAAATATATTTATATATAATATAATATAAATTATATCAATATTAATATATACTTGTAAATATTTTCAAAATATCCTGTATGTATGAAAAAAAAAGTTTATTTTGGATGTGATTAATCGCTTGACAGCACTAAAAAAAACCTGTTTGCAAGAACTTTACTGTAAAAATTATAGTAGCAACAATTTAGGTTTTATGGATTGGACTTAAAATTACAGTAATACTTTATTTTACACCTTACATGTACTTACTATTACAATAACAATAAATTATGCATAATTAAATGCAAGTAACCCTAAGCCAAACCTGAATCCTAAACCTAACCATATAGTAAGTACATGTAGTTCATTAATATTACTCAGTACTTAAATGTACAAGGACACCTTAAAATAAAGTATAACCCACTTAAAAAAAGTTTTATTAACTGATATAATATTCCAACTTAACAAAGTAACCCTAACCCTAAAATCTGTTTTATGCGTTTATAATATAACAACCACCATTAGCAGATACTTTTCCAAAAGCGCTAAATACTAGCCTATTAATATATACAGTAGAAGGTACCTGATGTCACACACAAAAAACACCATTATGACACTAAAATAATGCAATAAACAGAGGAATAGTTCAAACTTGCTTAAAATGTACTCACCATCAGGTTGTCCAAAATGTAAATGAGTTTGTTCTTCATCAGAACAGATTTTAGCAAAAAATGTAGCATCACTTGCTCACCAATGGAGTTGAATGGGTGCCGTCAGAATGAGAGTCCAAACAGCTGATAAAAACATCACAATAATCCACAAGTAATCCACAGCACTCCAGTGCATCAGTTAACATCTGGAGAAGACAAAAGCTTGGTGTTCATAAGAAATACACCTTCATTCTGACGGCACCCATTCACTGCAGGGGATCCACTGATAAGCAAAGGATGGAATGCTACATTTCTCCACATCTTTGAGCAGTACTGTTGTTTCTCATTATTAGATACAGCATCAGATGTTAAAAATATTCTTCTTTCCTGATGCATTGTAGGTTATTCTTAATAATTTATTTGATAATGGTGCAATTCTGAGCACAGGACTGGGCTGTTTATGTAATTTATGTACGGTTAAAATACAACTTCTTTCTTGAATATCCGCTCAAACTCCTTTTCAGTCGCAGACAAGAATGCATACTTCTTCGAAGCCAAAATAACCGCTTGTCACTTTGGAAAAACTGATTACAAATTCCAAAGTACATATTATTCCTCATCTTGTACAATCTGACAGTGTCACGAGATTTAATTTGATTCCAACAGGCCTTGAAATCCACTTGCACTCTGGTTTTCGTCTGTTTCAGTAACTACTGACTTCCATGAGCAGAAAATACAGTGGAAGTCATTTTTGGGTGAACTGTCCCTTTAAGTAATGGTTAAGGTTGCCTTGATTTAATTGCCATCAGCTAACTCTCCTCAACAACCACATGATTTGAAGTATTATTCATGTCCAGTGCAGGATGTTTAATTTCTCAAATCCTGATGTACTGTATAAGAAACAGTATTAGTGCTTATAGCCAGCTACACTAATAAGAGGCGGTGTCAGTGTTGTCATCAGCTGCACCATCCTAAACAAAAACCTCTGCAGAAATTGCTTGCGACGTCCTCAAGGCCAAACTGGATCTGTGAAGTGGAACAAACTGAGAGTTTTCACAGATAAGAGGCTCTGTGAAGGAGCAGTGCCCTCAGTATGCATCAACTCAGATGCATTTCATTTGGACTTTCTAGGGCACCTTCTCATCAATGCATTCATCACTAGAAATTATAATGCGAAATAGCAAGACTACTGTAGTTCAGCCATATGCAAGCAAGGTTATTATAGTTAAATAAAACCAAAAAACTATTTTTGTTACTTGAAATCAAATAAACCTTAACTGAAATAAAATATAAAAACAATACAGTATATATATATATATATATATATATATTACAGCTAGCTACATTTCACATTTTCATTCACATTCTATAAAAGTAACTGAAAAACTAAAACAGAAATAACATTAAGCTATACAGACATTAAAAAAGGAAAAATGAGAAAAACACAAAAAATGATTAACATTAAAACTAAACTTGAAATGAAAACAGAAAATGTGAAAATAAAAATTCATTCAAAATATTATTTAAAAATATAATAGTATTTCAATGACACTAAAACAAGATTACATTACATTTAGTCATTTAGCAGACGCTTTTATCCAAATGAGAACAATAGTAGCAATCAAAAATAAAAAAGGGCAAAAATATAAGTTCTGTGATGAGTCTTACTTTTTATTATTGCTGTCAAACGATTAATCACGATTAATCGCATCCAAAATAAGTTTTTGTTTACATAATATATGCGTGTATACTGTGTATATTTATTATGTATATGGATGGATTGTAATCCAATTGAATTGTAATATATACATGTATATTGATAAATTGTAATTCAAGAGATTCTGTGTACTGCTTTTTGGTCCAATACGTAATATCTCTGTCTTATCCGAATTTAATAGGAGAAAATTATTGGTCATCCAATCTTTTACATTTTTAACACACTCTGTTAGCTTAGATAATTTAGAAGTTTCATCTGGTCTTGTTGAGATATATAGTTGAGTATCATCGGCATAACAGTGGAAACTAATCCCGTATTTTCTGATAATATTACCAAGGAGCAACATGTATATCGAAAATAGCAGAGGACCTAGGACAGATCCTTGTGGCACTCCATATTTTACTGGTGATAATTGAGATGACTCCCCATTTAAATGAACAAAATGGTAGCTATCGGACAGGTAGGATCTAAACCATCTTAAAGCCTGCCCTTGAATACCTGTATAGTTTTGTAATCGATCTATGAGTATGTCATGATCTATAGTATCAAACGCAGCACTAAGATCAAGTAAAACTAGCAATGAGATGCAGCCTTGGTCTGACGCAAGAAGCAAGTCATTTGTAATTTTAACAAGTGCAGTTTCTGTGCTATGGTGGGGCCTGAAACCTGACACCTGACCATGAAAATGAAATTGATGAAAACCATGAAATTCTTCACAGAGATCATTTTTTTGCAAGAGAGAGCAGAAGGAGCTGTCAAGAATTGTGAAAGAGTAAAACAAACTCAGGTTCTCAGCGAAGAAATTCTATTTATTATTCAAAGGAAGTTTGTGGAGAATTACAGCAGTACACACTTGACTGAACAGCTGCCTTTATCACATAACACAGTACAGACAAGAATGAGGTCGAAACTCATATGGATATTGAAGTTAGTCAAAAATCCCTATGGCTCCCGGGTGGCATGTATGGCTAATCCTCGTGATTACAGAAGGCTTGAAAATCAAAACTCCTTTTTCTCCACTCAAATGAAAAATGTCCAACACCCACGACAGAGGGACACACATCCGGACAGATCCACTGCAATAAGACTCACGACAACTTAATATGCAGAGAAAGAGATCGCCGAGAAATAAAGAAGAGAGTTATTATGTCACTGGGGTTGGAATACAAGCTAAACTGAGAAGTCTAGTTTGTATATTTCACATATATTTCGCTCTTCCAAGACCACAGGAAATGAATGGAAAAGCAGTAAGAAATATATCCCTATAAATAATTGCATCCGACTTTTATTTGTTAAATAGCCTGTTCAGGAAGCATTTATAATTGATTCTATAGGTCTATATATAAATATATATATTTCTGTATATTGTTTTTTAAAAATAAATCTATTTAAACCCAGCTGGGTGTTATTTCCAGTTATGTCACCTAAGCTTTAAAACTACTAATTCGCCCATCAGGCAAAATGTGCTCGATCCTGACAAGAAACAGGAGAACTACTAAATAAAAGCCACCAGCCGGCGTGACACTTTATTAGCACCATTTTAACGGTTTGTACATTGTTGCTTGAACTGTATTGTGTGTCCACAACCTGCAATCTTGACGCGGTTTGATCTGAGTCTTTTATATATGTACACACACACACACACACACACACACACACACACACACACACACACACACACACACACACCCCAAAAGAGCAATATTTACATTTCTGGTTATTTGTTTTGGAAACAGAACAAAAGATGTTCTGGAAAACGAAGCAAAGTGCATTTTTTTCTTGCCTGGATCAGCAATTCTAACGTTTCTAATGAGTTGGAGGAGGACTGGAAGCGTTATCTGAGGGAAAAAAGAACAGCTTCTCAGGAAGGCACAGATGTTCTTTTCTGCCTTGTGTTGAGAACACACAGTGCCCACCTCATAAACTAGTCATAGTTTAGCATTTAGTAAAGAGTTCAACCCATCCAATGTCCTTTGGTTAGATAATCTGACAACAAAATTCTCTGTTGTGGACACACACACACACACACACACACACACATCCCTAAAGAGCTAACTATGAGATGCTCAGATGATGCTGGTTTGCTCTCCATCGCAGGGCACAACACCAAAAACACCTATAGTAGAGATAATCATCAGTTATTCTTGACACACTAACACTACAACATCCCTGCTTGTGAACTCAGACTCTGTGTGAAAAAGGGTGTTTGTTTTCTTTCTTTCTTTATAAAGGGGCAAACTTTCAAAATGACAAGACCTACAGAGAGCAGCCAGCAGAAAAAAATCCATTTATCTAGCCAAACATAGTCTAAACTGCTTTAAACAGGATTCTCTTACATATACACGACAGTGTTTCTCAGTCAAACATATTTTTTCTCGCCATCGACCGTTCCATGCAGCCCTCTCCAGAGCGCGGCTCTCGCTCTGCGCGGTTGCCCAGCGACGCGACACCTCCGGCGGTCAGTCGTCGTACAAATCTTCGCCCTCAGACTCCTCTCCGGTTCTCTGCTCGAACGCTTTATCTTTGTGCCGCTCCTGGATCTCCTTCATCTCCTCGGCGTAGCGGCAGAACGCTCCGCCGAATTTGCTCCACGCTTTGAAGGGGATCGTGATAGAGTTTCTGTAGCTGGGCTTCACCTCGCTCACACGCAGAAACACGCCGTACTTGTTGGAGCCCACGTCAAAGAAGAACCTCTTGGAGTCCACCGTTATCGACGTGCCCTCGGGTAACTCCGCGTAACCTCCTCCTCCTCCTCCGGAGCAGGCTAGCTCCTCGTCGTCGCCGCCGTAGTCGTCGACCAGCTTCGCCAGCGCGTCGCGGAACTCGATGAGACCTTGAGCGGGAAGAGCGATAGTTTGCCCGGATTGAATTCCTCCACCACCGCCGCCGCCGGGAACACCGAATCCGCCGCGGTTAACGGTCTGCCGGATCCGCAGGAATCTCCCGCGCTGGTTCTCCTTCAGATCGAGGTAGTATTTGCGGTTTTCCCTCACGAGATACTCGCTCTTCAAGGCCCGTCTAGGCCCGCCGTCCTCGCCTCCGGAGGACTGCGCGATCTGCTCCGGAGTGCTGGGCCCAAGCTGGGCGTAGTGTTCGATGAAATCCCCGAAGTAATCCCGGAACTCCGCCGCGACCGACATGGAAAGCGTCAGGCGGCTTTTGGAGCCCCCAGCGCCGACCTCGGCGATCTTGATGAACCTGCCCTTCGAGTTCTGCTTGACGTCCAGATAGAAGCGCTTGTTTTGGATGTCGAGGCGTTTGGACGCCAGCTCTTGGGTCTCTTGGTCCCTCTGGAACGCTTGGAACCCGCTTCCTCCGCCGCCGCGCTCACTCCCGCTGTCCCCATCCGCCATCTTCTCCAGCACCCAGAGCGCAGATATTTTTTTCCCACCCGTATTTCATCAGGTCCCGCCTTATGACCCGAGAGCGTCCTATGAATGGGCCGTAGCTCTGGAACGTCACCGCCTTAGAAACATCCTGTGATTGGGCGTTTGGCGTGTCAGTCATTTATTCGCTTATCCTATTGGATGGTAACCCGTCTGTCATCTGAGTAAACACCAAATCCTCGTTCTCTTTGGCCTGTCAAAGTGTAAATCCCACCCTATTGTGTCGATAACGCACTGTCACAAGCACTTTATTGCAGATAACACTTCACTTGGTCTTTCCAGCAACACATATACCGTACTACTCTGGTTTTTACCGCCTTCTATCCATTTAAATATGTGTCCCTGGAGCACAAAACCAGTCATAAGGGTCAAATGAGATTTATGCATCATCTGAAAGCTGAATAAATAAGCTCTCCATTGATGTATGGTTTGTTAGGATAGGACAATATTTGAAAATCTGGAATCTGAGGGTGCAAAAAAATCTAAATATTGAGAAAATCATCTTTAAAGTTGTTCAAATGAAGTTCTTAGCAATGCATATTACTAATCAAAAATTAAGTTTTGATATATTTACGGTAGGAAATGTACAAAATATCTTCATAGAACATGATCTTTACTTAATATCCTAATGATTTTGGCGTAAAAGAAAAAGTTATAATTTTGACCCATACAATGTATAGTTGGCTTTGTAGCACATATAAGAACTTCTAAATAAAGTCGTCAAGGAAAATGTAACCTTCACTCCCTCGGGGCATTTTGACCGGGATTTTTTTTTCTTACAATTTTTTTTTTTTATTGAGTGTTCATCTGAGTGGTACAGGACTTTTGTTCCACTTGAATTTGGAACACGCACACAAAATATTTTGTGGATTCGAGAACTTATGTGGCTATAATTAAAAAAAATTACAAATTCTTCCCTTGTGAGTCATTTTTACCCGACCATAGAATGGAATGTGGAAAAAACGGCACTTGTTAATTTAATTTGGTCACACTTGAACATGGATCACACACACACACACACACACACATATAT